TGAGACTCAAAGTAGATGTTTCCAGTGAGGAAATTAGTAGTTTACTTATGTAGTTATTATCGTTATGAAGATCTGTAAGATAAGTATTTAGCTGCAGTATCAGGTGTCTAGAACTGAGGCTGAAAAAAATGAAGAAAAGCAAAACTAATTTGAGATACTGAGGTTCTGCTAAACTCTATCATTGAAAACATCAGTATATCAAGAAGTAACTGATTATTGTTTGCCTGAAGCATTACCTAGTCTCTATTTTGGTTCTTTTCTAACTACAAATAACTGTTTATATATTGATTTTTTTTTTTTTTAATGAACAATGCACGGGACGATTTCTTCTTACTAGGTTCACTCATTTGGTTCTGTCTTTGGCTACCCAGATATCTTTCCGTAAGAATGTCTAAATTTTGGCTTGTTATAAGATGACTGTCTGGAATTAACCTATTTTGCCAGCTTTTTCACAAGAATTTCAACTAAAAGTAGCACCAGAATAATTTATCAAAATGGATACAATTAATGCTCACCTTTTTAAAGTTAGTTTATATTTTCGGTGCTACTGGTGAAAACTTGTCACCAACTCTTTGGAGAAACAAATTCCAAAATCTGAAAGGTGACACCAACTGCAATTAACTTTAATCTTGAAAAGTGTGAAACTCTCAGGACATAATTGAGATCAACATCCCAGGAGTAAACTGATGGAAGATGTGACTTACATAAGAAAAACAAGGGTATTTCTTTATTCTTACACCTGGTTTTCATTTGCTTATGTATTCAAAATACAGATGTACCAAAAATCAGTAATTGACATATGATAGATGTAATAATGACAAATAACTTTCAAATAATGTCATATTTTTATTCTTGGTGGTATCATAGGAACCCTGTATGGTTTCATAATTATGGTATGAGACCTCAGATTTAAGTAACTGGCTCTAAAGATACTTGGGTACCTCCAGGCTTTATAAATATTTATTTCTCTGTTTTCTTGAAAAGCTAAGTATATAAGGAAATTGTAGAAGAGCTGGCATGTAATACAGGATTTCTAGTCTGTTATCAGTAAATGTTCTAAGACACGCCTTTGATAAAACAGAGATGTCAAAGACAGCAAAGGAAATATTTACCAGACAACGATGATTAGAGAAAGTTCTACAAGCCAGGATGGACTAAAGTTTTTTACTTTGTATTTTAACAAAAATGCTTTTTGAAAGTATTATAAAGTGCCCAGGACTAGGGACTACGGCTTCATGTAGATAAGAGAAGTAAATATTTTAAAAGGAAATATAAGAAAGGAGTTCCCTTGAATACGTATTCTTAACTTTGGAAGCAAGAAACTTTCTAAGGATGGAAGAAGGTTTAGGTGGCCTGGGATCTGACAGGTACTTGTAAGTGAAAAGGCACATTAGCTCAATGACATGTGATTCAACAGGGACATTGGCCACATGACTATATAGCTTGCGTCATCTCACCACCTTGCAGATACCTCCCAACACACCCAGATTTAAACCTAAATAATAGAAAAGCTATGCTTAGTGATATTTCCAAAACCCTCTTCCTACGCCTGTGCAAGTATCTTGCTTTCTCTTCCTCTGTCCCCCAAATACTGTTCAGGCACTATTTCCCCTTCTGTACTTCCCACTTCCTCCTCCCTCTCCCACTTCCTCTTCTTCTTCATTTCACTGTCTGCTTTTTATTATTATTATTATTACCTCTCCTCTCTCCCCACTGACCTCCTGTCTCTTGCTGTCTTCTCCCTTTTTCCTCACTCAACTTCAGATCAATCCTGCTGGGTATATTCTGTGTCCTATACCTCTGCTGTGATTCTTAATGAAATAAATTTCAGGAAGCCTACTGATTGGATCCATGACAAGTATATAATTTATAGGAGCAGCTGGGCCCTCCTTGGCACAGGGCAATCCTAATTTTTCCTCTGTATATTCTATTTCCAATTCTGCTCCATCTTAGCCTTCTCCTTCTCCTACTTCATTGGAGGACATCAGCTGGGAATTCCTTACATTTCTCCTATTTCTTTCCCTTATTTTCTTCTTGGGGAAGGAAAGGGTCTCCTCCCTTTCCTACAGTGCATCTCAGAAGTTCAATTTATAAGGATATCCTAAGTGAACCTTTATCTCATAAATCAAGGTCTCATTGTCTCTCTTCCGTAAATCCTAACAACTGTTTTGCCCATCAGCTCCTCACTTCCTCCATATTGCTACCAGAATTAGGTTTAGCATTTGTGGCATGGTATTTATTTAGTCAAATCTGATGGTTTTTTGGTCTCTACTAAGATGGGAGATTTCATATTTTATGTTTATGAGGTTTCTTTTTCCTTTATCTGCCTGTGGCCCTCAATTGGAATTTTTCCAATGATTTTCCCATTCTTAATGATTGTTGAATTTTCTGTGGCTTAAAGAAAAAGAAAATCGAGATTTTCTAAATATGGTGATAAAAATCTTTGTAAACATAATAAGGGCAACCTCTTTGTTTATGAGTCTAAGACTGAACAGACCTGATGTCCCAATGATTTTCTCTCTCAGGTTATACGTAAATTGTTGGTTATTTTTAAAAAGCCTATGTAGAGAAGTGGAATATTTGAGAAGTTTCTGAAATATCTTTGACTATCAATAATGTCAATAACTGGCTTAGAATTTTCTCTCCTGAGGGAAAGCTTCTGGGGGTAACCCTTTCTAAACTCAATCTGTGCTGGCCACTAAAAGTTAACGTTTCTATCAGTGCCCCGTATTTGCTTTCTTTCATCATCGGATAGTAGCTGAATGCATAGACTTCAGTGACAGATAGCCTACATTTAAATCCCAGTATCTACTGTGTGACTATAGGTGAATTACTTAACCTCCCTGTACCTTAGTTTCATCACTTACAAAATGGGAACACAATGGCCAAATATCATCATCCATATTTTAAGGGTGAAAAGAGATAATCCTTTTTACATGTACACAGTGCTTGAGTATACAGGAAAGGCCTATTTTTATTGGTATTGTTATATTTACTGTTATGGCTAACTATATATGTTATCTGCATTTTCAACTAAATTGTAAACCTCTTGAAGTCAGATGTTTAAACTGTTTCTCAAATATAAGGGCATAAGAAGGGCAGTCTTTTTGTTTATGAGTCCAAGACTGCCATTAAAAGGAATGGCAAAAACCGCAATAACTTTACACCAACCTAATATAAAAATTAACATGGAATGTTTGAGGCATGTCACTCAAATATGTAAGAATTTTTTAATCATATCTTTAAGCCATCTAATTGGTGTTCAAATGTGAATAATGACAGAGTCTTAGATTTTTTTCTTCATTAATAATAGCTGAATGTTTTACAAATAGAAAGTTATAGTAATTACTGAACATATGTAACTTATTCCCACAAGGCAAAATTTTGATTTAAAGCATAACTGAAACATAAGTGTGTGGTTAAATATCCTGAATGCAAAAGCAATGCTTACAAAGTTTATTTCTTCACATAATTTTTTGAAAAGTCTGTGGTGCACCTAAAGCAACTATTCTCCAATTCCTAGTAAGACATCAGTTTTCTGAAAGTACTTAATGGTATCTGGACTAAGTGTACATTTCAAAACACTCACATTACGAGTTAATGCATTTGCAACAGACTTCTGAGTGAAGTTACATATTGCCTAGGTTGCAAATAAAAAATGCAAGGGAGTGAGGACTTAAGACCTATTGAGTACCCCTGGAACTCTTAATGGTTTTCTTTGCTTCCTTTTCTCTCTTAATAGACTATCATCCCAGCTAGTACCATACTAATCAAACAATACACAAATGTTTCATGTTAAGGCTCAGAATTATAGACTCATATAATTAGGAGACTGGAAGGAAACACACAAAAATAAGACTTTTCAAGACAATCTCATTCACACTCTTTACTTGAATTATTTACTCTAGTTTTATTATTAATTTTTATACTGTTAAATTGACTGCAATTCAAAACCCAGTGTATTCATACCATATGTTAAGATATGCTCCTTCCTATATGTGTTCCTCTAAAGCACCATCTGGATCTTGTGGGGGGTATTTTCCTTTGTGGTATCAAAGCCAGGAGCTCGTGGTTTTCCTTTATTTTTTAAGGGAACACTATCGTGTAGCATCTGGGACTAGAAAGAAATCTTGATGGTATATATTTTACAGATATTTTCTTTTCGGATGTTTTTTCCTCTAAGAGAAAAGCTTTTGTTAATGTGTCACGTAAAAATACATTGTTGATTAGTAACTTGTCAAGAAGTGCTAGATTACATTCCTGTGTTGGTCCATTTATATATATTTCTGAACAGCTAATATTTCATTTAGTTTCCTATTAAACTTACTCAAATATATTTTTGAAGTGCATTGCTTAAAATTTACATTCAAGGCAAGAAAATGAGTTTGTCAGTAAATGTAGTAATTAAGGAAGTTCCAAGTCTGTATTTTTAAGATACTAGAGGTAACTGTAACTAATCATTTTAACTTAAAGAAATAGAATTGCAAATACCCTCCTTCTCCCCCACCCCCCACCAAAACCATACTTTGGAATTATAACCGTCTTTTACGTCTATCAATATAAATGTATTTCATTTGGTATTCAAATTACTTTCAAAGCGATAAATTTTGAATTTCTGTTTCATTGTAGCTTCTGATCTTTAAATGTACTGAACAGGAGGATTTGGGGAGCTTGTCTTGTCTGATAGGTGTTAAGTATCTATGACGACAAATTTGTGCTGAAGCAATGTGCAATATAGACTAGTAATATTTTTACAAGGCTATTTTGGAAATTCTCACGTTGATGTTACTAATAACGTGGGTTTAATAGCATTTGGGTAATTAAGAAAAAAACAGTAATAGAAAAATAAAAACGATAAGAAGGGCGAAACAGACTTCTCCACCCCTCTCCCAACCCTCATTCCTTTGGAGGCTCGCGCCCTCTTGGAATAGCAGGTTCCTGCATGTGTCAGAAATCCGGTCCCAGCAAAGCTAGGTGCTCTGCAATGCCAGGGCGTTCCCAGCTAGGGACTCCTGGCTGCTTGGAGCTTGAAAACACCTGGCGTGGTTCTCGGGGGCCCTAGAGGCTTCTGCCACGGGCTGGTCGGCTCTGGGGTTGTAGGCAGAAGGCTCTGAGCGGTCGGAAGGGTTTCCTGTGTGTCAGCAACTTCACTTTGCCGAGATAGCTGGCGGAAGAGAGAAGAAGCGCTCGCGGGCCAATCGCCTGCCAGCAGCCACCTTTGAGCGCACCCCTCGCCCTCGCCGCCGACTCCGGTAGCAGCGTGTTGGCAGAGGCTGAACACACTCGGCATCGGCGGAGACCTGCTCCCCAGTAGACGCCTCCTGCTTCCCACTGCACCCTAGAGGACGCGGGCTGGCTGCTGGGCGAGCTCGGCGGAGGCACGCCCCTCGCCTCCCCTCGGAGTGCGGACTCGCCCGGGTGCCCAAACTCCGCCCACCCTCACGGGAGCTCAGCTCTCCCGCCTGACCCCGGTACTCTGGACAAAGCGGGGCCTGGGGAAGGGCCCCTGAACTGCGCGGACGCTGAACGGGACGCGCTTCAGAAGCGCACGAGTCTGCGGCCACGCGCGCTCCGATGGCCGCCAGGAGCTGAGCTCAGGGTAGGAGGAGGAAGCGATAAGACGCCCCGAAGCTGAGCTGCACGTTTCTAAGGTAGGGAGGAGGAAGATGCCCCAATGAAGTTGATCTTTGAGCCAAGGAGGCTGGGGAGCACCCTCCCCATGCGAGATCCCCGCAGAGCGAGTTTCGCTTGACCTCGCTGTGCCTCTGGCGCGCTCTGCAGCGCGGACCCGCGGCCCCTCGGGAAAGCGCAGTCGGAAAGTTATCCGCGGTGGTGCCCTGCGCGCCCTGTTGTGTAAGCTCGGCGTTGCCAGCGGTCGGAGAAGTTGCTGGCCTGCCCGATAGCCCAGTTCAGTGGCGGCCCGGGGCGGATTTCATGGCCCGCGGCGAACGCGGGGCCAGAGCAGGCGTGGGCGAGCCCCTGCGCGCCCCCTCCCGCGGGGATCCAGCTCGCCCGCTCCCTTCCGCTCGCTGGCTTTTCCGATGCTTGCTGCGCCCCTGGCCGCCGCTGCCCTCTCGCCGCCTGCTGCCCCTCGGAGCCGCCGCCTAAGTCGAGGAGGAGAGAATGACCGAGGTGCTGTGGCCGGCTGTCCCCAACGGGACGGACGCTGCCTTCCTGGCCGGTCCGGGTTCGTCCTGGGGGAACAGCACGGTCGCCTCCACTGCCGCCGTCTCCGCGTCGTTCAAATGCGCCTTGACCAAGACGGGCTTCCAGTTTTACTACCTGCCGGCTGTCTACATTTTGGTGTTCATCATCGGCTTCCTGGGCAACAGCGTGGCCATCTGGATGTTCGTCTTCCACATGAAGCCCTGGAGCGGCATCTCCGTGTACATGTTCAACTTGGCTCTGGCCGACTTCTTGTACGTGCTGACTCTGCCAGCCCTGATCTTCTACTACTTCAATAAAACAGACTGGATCTTCGGGGATGCCATGTGTAAACTGCAGAGGTTCATCTTTCATGTGAACCTCTATGGCAGCATCTTGTTTCTGACATGCATCAGTGCCCACCGGTACAGCGGTGTGGTGTACCCCCTCAAGTCCCTGGGCCGGCTCAAAAAGAAGAACGCGGTCTATATCAGCGTGCTGGTGTGGCTCATTGTGGTGGTGGCGATCTCCCCCATCCTATTCTACTCAGGTACCGGGGTCCGCAAAAACAAAACCACCACCTGTTATGACACCACCTCAGACGAGTACCTGCGAAGTTATTTCATCTACAGCATGTGCACGACCGTGGCCATGTTCTGTGTCCCGTTGGTGCTGATTCTGGGCTGTTACGGATTAATTGTGAGAGCTTTGATTTACAAAGATCTGGACAACTCTCCTCTGAGGAGAAAATCGATTTACCTGGTGATCATTGTACTGACTGTTTTTGCTGTGTCTTACATCCCTTTCCATGTGATGAAAACGATGAACTTGAGAGCCCGGCTTGACTTTCAGACCCCAGCAATGTGTGCTTTCAATGACAGGGTTTATGCCACATATCAGGTGACAAGAGGTCTAGCAAGTCTCAACAGTTGTGTGGACCCCATTCTCTATTTCTTGGCGGGAGATACTTTCAGAAGGAGACTCTCCCGAGCCACAAGGAAAGCTTCTAGAAGAAGTGAGGCAAATTTGCAATCCAAAAGTGAAGACATGACCCTCAATATTTTACCTGAGTTCAAGCAGAATGGAGATACAAGCTTGTGAAGGCACAAGAATCTCCAAACACCTGTCTGTTGTAATATGGTAGGATGCTTAACAGAAGTGTTTTTCCCCTCTTTAACTTTCTAGTCAGTTTAGAAAAAATCAAACCAAGAAAATAGTTTAAAAAATAATAGAAGTAGAAATGCCCACATCCACACTTAGCTTGCTTGGTTTGCTTTCAAAGTCTGTCTTCTTTCTGACTAGAAGTATGTATAATAAAACAGCACTACCTAGTTAAACATTTACTTTCTCTTTGGCCTTTAAAATTTACAAGCTTTTCTGTTTAAAGTGTGTGTGCACCTGAGTACTGGGGCTATTTTTGATATTAGTAATTTCTCTAAGAAAACTAGCCCCCTGCAACTTGAGTTTGTGGTTTATCTAGCCTTTATTGATTTTTAAAATCCACAATAGGAATAAAACGAAAATCTACATTCTCAGAAATATTTAGCATGGTATAACAAAACACTAAACTCATTAGTTCATCCAGCATCACATCAATGGATCTCTGAGCGGGGTGTCTTTTGCAGTGTCTTATAAGCATAGATGATAGTTGACTGAGTTTCTTTAGGGAATTGAATAGACAAGTAAAGTTAATGAATTTAAGAGCCTGAAAAGTGATTGTTTTCCAGTTATTTCTGGAAAAGGTCTCATTATATATTGGGTGCTAAATGTTTGATGGGGAAAGCCTGCATATATTATCGCACTGGTGAAATGCATTCAAAATAATTAAAATGCATGTATTTTCCTTCTAAACACTGTGAGCTCTCTTAGATATCTTGTGATAAAGAGCATTTACTTGCCCCACTGCTGTGCAATGCCTGAAGACTTTGTTTGTGTTCCAGGACAAGTGTTCACTCACATCTGTAAAAACAATTTTAAGAATCACAAACAAATTACAGACCAAAGTTTGAGGAAAGTCAAATAACAGTAAGTTGAAGGATGTTGGACAGGAGGACAGTATTTCAGAAAAGGAGAGGTTGACAGCCATCCACAATGCATAGCCTCCAAGTATACTCTCAAATGTATGAAGCAACTGAGGTGGGCAGAAGACATTTTAGAATGAGGGCTTTAGTTTAAATTAAAATCATGGTGGAGAAGGCTCTTTTTGCTTCTTCTAAGTGTTTGAAAACACAAAATGCGATATGAAAAGAAGAAATAGAATTTGTATAGGTTGCATTGATAGAATGGGAAGCTATAATCTTTGGATAAACCTTACATCTCAATATTTAAAGAAAAAACATGTATATGGAGAGGGAAATATAGAGACTTAAAGTACCTAGATACCATAGCACTGAAAAGTAAAGTACTAATCAGACTAGTAATAGAGAGGAGACTATTGGTCAGTGTTATCCATTATATTTGTTCTCTGCCAGGTGTTAATGAAAAATTTGTAAAATGCTTCAACAGTGTTAATAATTTTTAATGAATATTGAATTGCTGCATGTCTAGCCCTTGAAATGGTCAACTTCTACATGAGAATAATAAGGTGAGATAATGCAATTGAAAATCCCAAACAAATAAATCCAGTGTCAAAGGAATTTTTAGTTTTGAAAGCTAGTGCCCATAAAGTCAACATCAGAGTTTGCAACTGATGGTGGAATAACTTGTTGGAAAGCACTTTACAAGTAGAGCAACATGGGGCTGTATGTTAAGGCAAGAAAGAACCTTAGTCCTCTGTGGAACATAATGACAGGAAATTCAGATCTTGATTTCAGTTCTTGCAATGCCTATGTAGATTGAGGATTTGTGAGACCTTCAAAGTAGCTTCACTTTACCCAATCTCTGGCCACTAAGATCAATGAAGAAAAGCTGTATTTGGCCTTCCTCAGCAGTGATTCTTTTTACATGTTCCGTTTTAATGCATAGGATTATAGAAACCAAATAAAGAAGACACCTACTACACCTCCTCGTTTTGAGGAAAGAGAGGGTTAGCAAAATTCTCACTTCATCAGGCTCAAATAACATCCATTTTAGAGTCCTACAAGACAAAATCTAAAATATGTCATTACTGTATTGACCTTGTTAAGATCAAGATCATTAAACTGACCAAGATGGAAATTACAGGACTTGTACCAGACTTGAACTTGTAGCCTAATGATACACATTTGTATAATATTTCTTCACCATTTACTTTAGTTTTCTTTCTTTTAGGTCTCAGGATGCTCAGCTTAATTTAGAGTATGTGTTAAGTACATTGTTTCAGCGTCCAGAGAATTCTGTGAGTGTGGATCCACTGAGGAGGTGAACAGTGTCTAGAAATGCTTGTTTACTACTTGGCATGTTTTTTTCCAAAGTGTTTCTTCTTTAGCTTCTTACATCACATATGGACATTGATGACATGTGAATGCATGCCACATAGTACAAGAATGATCTTGCTAACTCCTTCCAGGCCAAAAGAAGCCTCTGGGAAGATGTACAAATGGTGAAAACATACAGAGGGTCAGGATGAGGTAGTGATCTCTGTTGGCTGAAAAACTGATCAGGTCATATGACGATTGAAGTATGTTAATAGTAAGGGCAGAAATGTGTTGGCATTTGGAAAAAAGAACTGCTAACATTATAGAACTTACTACCTAGCAAAATTTCACACAAAAAATATTTTAATGGCAAATTCAAGATGTTTTATTGCTTACAAATTAGCATCTTTGACTCTTTGAACATCAATCTGTGTTTACATTGAAATGACAAAAAGAAGAAATATAGCATGCAAGTCAGAATTCAGAGTTAAAACCATGATGTTGCCACTCAGCCAGCTGTGTGACTGTTGACCCTTCCAAGACCACACATAGATTGTTGGGGCTTTGGGGGATATGGTAAAGCATGAAAACTGAACAGCCAGGAGCCTGTGAAATCTGCTACTGTATTTTCCAGGACTTCATTCCACTCCTTGGCTAAAAAATAATCTTGTAAGTTTCACAGATTATGATGTGGACCTGTCACCTGTAAAGTGTCTCAATCTTCTCAGACAAGACACTAAACTGTCTTTGGATATTATACATGCCAGTGCTTATAGCAGCTGGAATTTGGCTAGTGACAATGTTTAAAGATGTAATACTAGTTAGTATCTATTGAAGCTTAAACTTTGCTGGTCAAGTTGTAGCTATTGTAATAGTATTTATTGAAGAAGCTCACAGTCCTTCAGTTGTACAGATTGAAAAACTTTCATGAAAGATCCAATATACTAATGTAAATTATATTTATTGCAATGTATAATATTAATGTGTCAAACTGGTGTATTTTACAAAATATATGATGCATACATAAATAAGAGTTGTATATTCCAGTGCTTTTCAAATAGCAGTATCTTGGAATATTTAAGTCTTCACATTTTTTAGTCTAAAATATGAAAATGTTTCATGATACAAGTGATTAATTTTCCCTAGAAGTTCTTTTGCATGTTTGCCTTTTTATTTTTTTCTGTATAGACACAATTTGGTATCAGACTATCATAAGATCAATAGTGAATATAAAATATCTTAGCCAAATGGGGTCTGTATTGTCCACATTGTATATATTAAATAAAAGTTTTTGTTGTCTTTTCAGGAGGTTTAGAGTATTGTCACTAAATACGGTCAAAGCTTCCCTTTCCAAATGCAAAAGTATTGTCTTATATTTAAAGTTGATCTGTCATGTTTTAGCAGTCAAGTGGGATGGGCATTATATAGACAACATTACAGTGTAAGGAAAATCTTTATGAAGATGGGGAGAGCAAAAGGCAGCTGGTATAATCAGTGCTGCCTGTTTTTTTTTTTTTGTTTTTTTTTGTTTTTTTTTGCGAGGAGTCTCGCTCATTCGCCCAGGCTGGAGTGCAGTGGCGCCATCTCCGCTCACTGCAAGCTCCGCCTCCCGGGTTCACGCCATTCTCCTGCCTCAGCCTCCCGAGTAGCTGGGACTACAGGTGCCCGCCGCCACGCCCGGCTAATTTTTTTGTATTTTTAGTAGAGATGGGGTTTCACTGTGTTAGCCAGGAGGGTCTCTATCTCCTGACCTCGTGATCCGCCCGCCTCGGCCTCCCAAAGCGCTGGGATTACAGGCGTGAGCCACCGCGCCCGGCCTCTGCTGCTTAGTTCTACTTAATTTTTTGTGTTGCTGCTGCTTAAGGTGAGATAGCATAATCTTAATTGTTTTGAGATGGAATTTTAAAGTAACACACTACCAGCAAGTTCAATATTGCTATTGATTTTAATCTGTTTTTTTTGTTCAGTTGATATCTTAAATTCCAAATTTTATAGTGATAATTGTATATTATTTGGCTGCTGAATTCTGTTACAGTTTTTTTATTCTGTTGTACATTGTATTATACACATCGTCACAAATTAATATGAAGGTGAATATATGTTACATATCAAGATTTGTGAATTTGAATTATAGTATGTTTTAGTGCTTTAGCAAAAAAATGTTTATTTTTATATTATCTGTCATTTTAATATAGATGATTGAACTAGATTTCTTTTTGAGTGATAGTGCCATTGAATGAGTGGTGTGGAAACAGTGTTACTTGATATTTTGAGCTTTCTCAGGTTTATCTAAATCAGTGGTAGCTTAACAAAACCCAGACTAATTGTGTGTAATTGTATTTTTAATAAAAGGAAAGTACATTTCCTATAATAGCATAGTATTGTTTGCATGCAAGAGTATGCAAAACCTTGTGTGTGTGGGTGCGTGTGTGTGTGTGTGTGTGTGTGTGTGTCTTAGTGGGTAAGGCATGGCAGCCAACTTTGTATCTGCTATTTTTAGTATCAGCAGAGCTTCATAATTGTGGTCACTAGAACTGTACTTACCATGGACAATTAAAACTGAAAACATGGTTTGATGGCTTCCATGTTATTACAGTGTTAATACTCACAAATTTTGCCAAACTTTAACAAACTATATACAGACTGAGAAGTACTGTAAAACACATTTAACTAATTCAACTGTTTTTTAAGGTGAAGACTGGGCTCTAAAAACTACAATGTTAAAGGTAGAATCCTGGTGCAAGATAGGTAAAATTATGAATATTTGATATTGTCAATAGGAATGTAAGCTAATTTTTTATTGTAAAATACTTCATGCTACCTTAATGTGCGCTTCTCATGCTAGTGTTCTGTGTTTAAAATGTTGGCTGTAATTTTTTCTCACCTAATTTTTAATCTATGGGGGTGATTATGCTAATAATTCTTCGTGGATTCTATTTATTAGCATACACACCACCTGCTTCTCCCAGGTTTGTTAAAAAATGTATCTGTGCAGCAGTGAAAACAGTGTACAATGAAATGGGAGCATGCTTAAAGCATTACCTTTTTTTTCCCTCAGTTGAGAAGGTACGTGCACAATGGTCCTGTGTTGGGTTCTCTGGTTGTGTGCTGAGATAGGTGCTCTATAAGGGAAACCTGTGGGTAGAAAATACAGATTTCTTGCAGTCTTTAAGATATGTGTCAGTCAGTGTTAACTCCTTAATTAGATGTACTATGCAGACTTTGCCATTTGGGAATCTTCATTTATTAACATCAGCTTGAGTAGAGTTTTCTGTGGGCATATATGTATGTATGTGTGTGTGTATGTGTCTTAGTACATACATATAATTTATATAGAGATAATTATCTTTCTGACTTAAGAATTTACCCTAAAGCTTTGAGCACCTTTTGATTTTTGAAATCACTTAGGGGTTAAAGTCAGAGACCCTTTTCTCTCTACAAGTTAATATCCATTTTGATTCCCTCTCTATTTTAATGATCTGAAAAGTTTATTTTCTTTCTTTAGGAGATTTTAGAATTTTTCCCCAAAATATGGTCAGATCTTCCATTGTCAAATACAAAAAGCTTGTCCTAAATTCAAAGTAGATCTATTATGGCTTAGAAGTCTGATAGGATGGGGCATTACAGACAAAACAGATGTCACTAGAAATCCATGTTAATGTTAACACTGTGCTTACTTGCTTAATCCTGCAAGGTTATATTGCCTTGGGCTGGACCCTGGGGACTGACATCCTCAGTCAGCATGGCTGCTGGGACTGACAGTTCTAACAGCAGCTGCGGATGGAGTCAGGCCCCTGGGCTGAGCAGCTGACAGAACTGCAACTCTTTGGGAATGGAAGTGGGTAGGGGGACAGGGGATGGGAGGCAAGTGGAGGCTGTTGGTACTTCAAAGAGGAAAAAAATGCACTGCCTTTCCTGATTACCTGATAGGGAGAAATCACAACTGTGCAAAGCTGGAAAATTCATGAAGAAGACAGACTAAAAAAGATAGAGACCTTGGAAATGATCCAAATCCATCACCTTGTTTTATAGGTGAGAACAAAATATTCACATTCAAAACTGGAGCTAGTAAAGAATGTGGCATTCTCACTTCTAAAACATTCCTCTCGTATCCCAAGACTTTTCAAACTGTAGGTCTTGACTCATGAAAGTGTCATGAAATCAATATGATGGGTTATGATTGACACTCTAACAAAATGAAATAGAATAGATCAGAGTCCATAACTCAGTAAGTAATTGTGGTTTTAATTTCAGACACACACATACTCACACAACACGATGCATATACATATATTTACCTGTATTTGTGGCGTGGGTCGCAGTGGACATTTCATTTTCTATTGTTGACATCATCAGAAAAGTTTGAAAATTCACCGCTACTCAGTAAAAAGTGGCATAAAATTAAAAGAATAGAGGATAAGAGGTTGTTTTTCAAAACTATTTTAAAATAAATGAAAAGATAGTTAATTATGCTACTTGCACTTGTTCTTTTTTCTTTTAACGTTATTTTCTTCTGAATATTCCTTTCTGAAGTCCCAAAGAAATTAAAGCATCCTTTTAGCCTACCTCTAAGGATGACTGTTTGCAGTTAGTATCATTAAACCCCAGCTTTGTGTAAACTTTGATAGCTTAACCTTCATACTGTTTCCTCTGGTGTGAAGAGTTAACAGCAAAACAACAAAACTTCACTGTTTGACAGCAGCTTTGCAGTAAAAAAAAAAACCTTAGCTTTGAGCCCACCTCTGCCACTTACTACTTGCATACCTGAACAAGTTATTTAAACCCTGTTTGTTGTGTGTTCCTCAACTATAAAATGGGCATTATTAGATGCAGTTCATAGGATAATGGAAGAATAGGCGAAGCATACAAAGTATGCCATTCTTGAGGCTGCTAAGGATTTTGCCACTCCATTAGCTATTTTATTGTTGTTCTTATTGTTTTTCTGTAATTTCTGTTGTCTTCTTCCACACCATGGAGGCTTTGTGGGATTGAGAGATTGAGTGCATTTAATATTGTTCTTTTGGATACTCCATTGAATGTCTGAGGTCTGAATAACAGGCAAGCATTCAACTTTTGGATGCTTTGCACTGTGATATGCACTCTATGGGACAAAGACACAGGAGACAAAGTATGTATAATTAAAAATATATTACAAGAAGATCTTCTCACCTCTTCATCTGGGTGTTACCTCTGTAGTTCATGGTTTATTTTCAGTTGCTGCAGTCCAGAGTCTGATCTTCACTTTTGCAGATTCAGAAACTTGATCTTAGCAGTTCACCTAGAGTTCACCAACTCCAGAGGACTGACTCACACCAAGCAAACTGACAAGAGAATCATTTACCAACTAGATTGCCAATTTATGAGTATACAATGACTATATCTCAGTCCCAGTAAGACATCTGTTTGTTCAAGGAGGATATAATTATGGATCAGAAAGTTGCCTGCAGAACTTACAATTAGAATAAAAAGATGATATTCTTGAAGACCAATTCCAGTAAGATAGAGCAGCTGAAAGAATTGCCTATCCCTGGAGATACTAGCCTTGATAATAAGCATCTATCCTGAACTTGATAATAAGCATCTACCCTATACTCTGCCTGCCCGGAACAGTTTAGTAGCACATGGATTAAAATTTTCATATTTGTTTACTTTCTTTTAAAACTAGTCACCACCATTCTTCTTTGCATGCAAATTATGTTTTAATAATATCTCCCACCTGAGAGTATGGAAGGAGTATGGTGGTAGAGAGGGTGCAATGTGTGCTAGGATAGAGGTACTTAAAAGATATCCAACTGGAAAAGTGCAGTAAGTCATTGTAAATGACATTCCAGCATTCAGGGCAGAGTAGTAGCAAGAGATTAAAGTTTGAAAATCATCCGTGAGCAAACAATAGCTGTTAACCAAGGAAATAGAAGCAATTATCTGGGGAGTCTATGTAGACAGAGAAGAAAAAAGGGGCAGCAAGGGAGGAGGGAGCAGTGAGCTATAAGCAACACCAGCAACAGGGATGTGATGGACAGACAGGATGGGATTGTCATAGATGATCCAGGACGGCCCTCCTGAGGAAATCAGTCTCAAAAGAGAATTTAAGGAAGAGGTATTTCTGTGTCACCTGTTACAAAAAGGACAAAAAAGAGTCTGCTGGATTTATACATTAGAAAGCATTGATGTTTTGGAGGGCACATTTAATAAAAATAGTAATTGTTACTGATCACTGAAGAAGTGTTTTAGTAAGAGAAGGAGGATTTTAGGTTAGTCGCTAGAGGCAGAGAGATTAGAAATAGAAAAAGGGATAAAGAGGAATTGCTCAAAGAAAGCAAAAAAACTCCACTTGAAAATTTGTGTATATGATGATGTCAAAAGGACAAAGGAGAAGCGGTAGTCTAGGAAAGGGGTAGCTGTGGGTATTGAAGTTACTTGGTGGCAAAGGCCATCAGAGTAGAGGAGAGCTGTAATTGTGAGACTGAGACAT